AATTAGAATCAAACCTATGGAGCTTCCTAGTTCTTCTCATTTCTACTGTGTACCATTTTTAACTTATAAGATACCTATTTTGAAAATTAGCTATCAGGGCTTTTTTTTCAGCTGAAACTCAAGGGAACTCAGTTTCGGCACCTCTCAGGGGGGCACCATTGCCATTCTAAAAAAACAAGGGAGGCGTTCATGGTGAATTCCGGCACTACTTCTTCTAGAAAAATAGCCCTGATGGTTCTGTAATCATAGAAACCAAAAAAAGTTGTTCTCAGTTGATGTTTATCAGACAAAACTTCCAGATGATTTACAATTCTGTTTTCCATATGAATCCAGGAAACCATGACAATCCCAGTTCATAGGCGAATAAAAATTAAAAGGAGTGCCAGGATGCACTGTAATGCCAGGGCAGGCTACTCAGGTTATAATTGGATCTAATTAACACCTTACAAGTTGCAGCATTAACGACTAGTTTGTGCATCATACCAAAGAGTGAGGCACACTTTCCTGTCTTTAAAATTAAATCTTTTTTTAAAAAAGTGTCTTTGATTATTGCTATTCTAAGCAACAACTCTGATCCAATATTGGTATATGTGAATAACAAACATTAACTGAAACTCGTTTTGAAAGGAAAGCTGTAGTGTAACACAGAGAGAGAGAAAGCGCGCGCGCAAGAGCATTTCACTGACAAAACCACAATATTTGATGATTTAAAAAAATATATTGGAAAGAATTCTAACCCTAAATGTTTCTGTTTAAGAGGATAAATTCCTCAAACAGATTCAGTTTGACAATATTTTAAAATAGTGGAATGTGACTAGGAATACAGAGATATGTTCTTAAAAGGTAAAGGTAAAGGGACCGCTGACCATTAGGTCCAGTCGCAGACAACTCTGGGGTTGCGGCGCTCATCTTGCTTTATTGGCCGAGGGAGCAGGCGTACAGCTTCTGGGTCATGTGGCCAGCATGACTAAGCCGCTTCTGGCGAACCAGAGCAGCGCACGGAAATGCTGTTTACCTTCCTGCCGAAGCGGTACCTATATATCTACTTGCACTTTGATGTGCTTTCGAACTGCTAGGTTGGCAGGAGCAGAGACCAAGCAACGGGAGCTCACCCCGTTGTGGGGATTCGAACTGCCAACCTTCAGATCGGCAAGCCCTAGTCTCTGTGGTTTAACCCACAGCGCCACCCGCTGTTCTTACCCAGTGACTAAAACAGAAAAGAGGGTGCTCACCCCTATTTTAGAGAAACTGTGAACATCTTCCTTGTTGAAAGCTATGTGATCGAGTACAATAAAGTCCTTTCTTCTGGTCACATCTCTACAGATCTTGAAAGAGCATATTTTTATGCTGCAGTTAGGAAAAAATTGTGTCATTCTCAGCACATTCAACTTACTTTTTGCCACATTCAACTTACTTTTTAGTCACTCACTGGCCTGAAGTGATAGTGCAACTTTAACCTTGCCACACCCCTAAAAGAAGGGAAGACGCTCTGATAGTGAAGGAGGGATGGGACAACAGCCAGGAAAGAGTCAATATTACATTCCATATGCACCAGTCACTCAAAATGTTTTCCTCTCTAGTGAGATACACATTTTTGCATGAAAAACTGAAAAGTAGAGAAGTATCAGCATTTTACTGTGTGAACACCTGAAACTGCAGATAAAGCCAGGAGATAAAGTCTTACCCACCATCAACCTCAATAAATATCCCTCTAATATTTTATGAAGAAAATGGATTAGGTTAATTTTGCAGGACATAAATGGTATAATAACAAATGTGTATTTAACAACAATGGGCACAGTAAGCCCCTTCAGTGAGGAGGAGTGGCATGCTTTAGCTAAACAATGTTTCAATATTAACCTTTATACTGTACATTTTTATCTCTGTTTGATAGTTGTGAGTGAAGTGCTCTACCAGTGCAATCTAAAGATATATACTGAGGTAAATACCATTAGAATTGCAGCCTAAATGTCTGCTGTTACCTGAAGGGGGAGGGGAAGTTGCTGCTTCATAGCATTTATGGGTGGTCTAGAAATTAAATCAAAAAATAAGAACTTTAACAAATAATAATGCTGTGTCTTGAGTTATTATTTTTGTTTGTCATTGTGGTACGTATTTATGTGTTTTTCTGTTGTAAACCACACTCTGATCTTTGGATGAAGGGTGGTATAGAAATTTGATAAATAATAATAACAATTTATAGTGAGAGACCATAGGCATTTTGAATGTAATTATTGTTCATTATGTATATACATTGGCTGTTCATTGCTACTCAGTGACATTACACAACAATATAATGGCAGGAAGTGAGAAATGGCATTGTATTCATGGTACTATTTAGGTAGGATGCTTGGATAATTACATTTTATAAATTGGAATTAGGCATGGCACAAGGCCAACACCCATCCATGCCTTGTAAAAAGTACCATAGCATCTTTGTTGAGAAGGAGTAGCATAATTGTATTCTGATGTCTCTTCCAAAAAGATGATAACTAAACAAGACTCACCTGATGCAGTTGGGAGGTCAGCATCATATAGAGAAGCTTCATATCTGAATTACCAGTCACCAGCATTATCAGGCCAAAGACCATAAAGATTATTGTGGCACCTTCAAGACTTAAAAACAAATTTATTATGGCACAAGTTTTTGTGAACTGGAGTCCATATAATTAGATGCATGAATTGTTACCCTGAGTTACATAGGTATGGTTGCAGGTAGGAGATGGCAAGGGTTAGTTACAAGATGCTTAATGGAAAGGCAGACCCAGTTGTAGTTGGGTCCTTTTGAGACAGTTTTCAGCACTATCAATAAGCAGTTGTTATTCATTCACTGTGTGGATTTCTGCAAAACCAGTAAGATCCATACATCAAGCTGCAATATTTCTCCATACGTCAAGCTACAATATTTTGTCACTGAGAAAAACACAACTCCTGCCCACAGAATATCCTTTTGTGATTGTTAGTGCTGCGTGGAATATATTGGCATGAGCGCCACAAGCATCTACTGGATAGTGCAGGGGTCTGCAACCCGCGGCTCCGGAGCCGCATGTGGCTCTTTTACATCTTTGCCGCGGCTCCGGGGCAGATACTAGCGAGGGGAGGAGGCGCATTGTGCGCCCCAACACTCCTCACTGTGGCAGGCGCTGTACTGGCTGTGACGTCGCATGGGGCGGTGCGTGCGTTAGTCACGCACCGTTCCGACATCACCTTCCCGCCCGCTGTCAGATTGCAGCTCCGGAGATATATTTGTTTTAATTGTCGCAATGGTTTTGCGGCTCCCAGTTGTTGTTTTTCTTCGGAAATGGGTCCAAGTGGCTCTTTTTGCCTTAAAGGTTGCAGACCCCTGGGATAGTGACTGGGCTGTCATAGGGTTTACTACCTCCCTCAACGTTCTGTTGCCCTTGAAATACTTTTCATTTTAATGCATTTTACAACATTTAGTATTTTTTAATAGAAGGCAGTACTAAAGCTAACCCCTGCTCTTTAGGGAGGAAAAGAGTGTGTGTGTGTGTGTGTGTGTATAGTTATTATGTATATTTTGTTATTCAAAAGCTATACACAACTGCCCTCTAACACCAGAGTCCCATTTCCCCCCATTAAATGGGAAAGGCTGTAATTCCTGTGGTAAGGCAGGGCTTGCCACTCCTACTCTATTGTGTGGGGAAATATTATTGAAGTTCTACCTCAAGGTAGGGGCACAAAAACAAGGGGGAGGGATATTTTTCTTAGTCTGAAAACACTTTATGCAAATATGTTTGTGTTTCTTACAAACACCTGTTACTTTGATGTTAAAGGTATATCCATCTATCTATCACCCACTGCTTTTTTTTCCTTCTTAAAAAATGTTTAGGGGTAACTCTCATTTTCCTACTCATATTGTAATTCTGCCCCTCAATGAGGCCAAACTTAGATTCAAAAAATGTTTAGGGGTATGCGTACCCCTGCATCCCTTCAGAAAAAGCAGTGGATCTACCTACCTACCTACACACACATACATATATATACATACATACAAGCCAGAAAGGGAAGAAACCCACTCAGAACTGAAACAACAACTTCCAGGACAGTAGCCCGATTAGTCTTGCGGAGCCTTAAAGACGAACACATCAGCCACAAGACTCTTTTGCTGTTTCGAATAGAAAGATTCAACTCACTTCCAAAAAACAAAAACAAAAAAGTAATTGGTAACTATAGAACAATGTTTTCGGAGCACATCAACATGCTAGTTCCCGTTTATGTGTGCCATTTCAGAGCACGGGGAAATGAGGGGGTGTGTGTATATATTTACATATACCTCCAGCCTTGCCCTATATGGGCATATGAGATAAGCAAGGTGGAAGCATAACAAGCCAGCCAGCCTCACGCAAACAGTCAGGTGCGGTGACAAAGCGCCCACCTCAGCCACCCCGAGCTGGGTCTGTGCCCGCCCAGCGGGGGGTGCTGTGGAGGCCAGCCGGAGCCCCTCACGCCACTGGCCCTAGGCTGCCCCCTCTGCACTCTGCACCCCCAGAGCCTACCCCAGGCGGCGGCGGAAGTGAGTGTAGGGGGCAGTATAGGAATTTCCTGTGACGTCCCGGCCCGGACTCCATTAGGCTGCAGCTAGGCAGAGAAGCCACAAACCCAGCGGGCTAGTGGAGAGGAGTGGGCCGGGCGCCTGGGGCTGCCAGGCGGTGGGCTTCGGGCAGCGTTAGCTGGAGGGACCCTAGAGCGGGCGGCGGCGGCCGCTGCTGTCTGAGGGGCCTCGAGGAAGAGGGACCAGGGCTCTCCCCCCCCACCCCGCTCCTCACCCCCGCCACCTCCCCCACCCCACTCCCACCCCCGCCTCCCCTTCCTCACTCCCCCCCCCCCGGCTTCCCACCACGGCCGCTCTCGGCGAGGAAACTCTGGCCTCCGCTTCCTCCTCCTCCGACTCGGACACCGGCGGAGCCTCCCCGCCACCGCGGAAGAAAGCGCGGGCCTCCCCGGCGGCGGCGGCGGCGGCGGAGGGAGCAGGAGAGCCCGGGGCTTCCGCGGGCAGAGCAGGCCTCACCTCGTCCCCGTCCCCCTCGCTCTCCGCCGGGCTCGCCCCCCCTGCTGCCAACCCCCTCAGAGCCAGCGGCGGCAGCAGCAGCAGCGCCATGCAGGCCAACGGGGCAGGAGGGGGTCAGCAGCAACAGCAGCAGCAACAACAACAGCCGCCGCCGCCGTCGTCGTCGCAGGGTCCGGAGCTGGGCTGCCTCAGCGCCCAAAACGGCGAGGCCTCTTCGGGCTCGAGCGCCGGGGAGCAGCTCGCTCACGCCAACGGGCTTCTGCCGTCGGCCAACAACAACAACGGCGGGGGTGGCGGCGGCGGCGGGCCGAGTGTCAACAACGGGGTTTCGGCCCCCGGGGGGTCCGCCGTCGAGATGGGGGGAGGCAGCGGCGTCGGGGTCGGCGGCAGCGCCCTGAAGAAGAAGAAGCGGCTCTCGCAGTCCGACGAGGACGTGATCCGGCTCATCGGGCAGCACCTCCACGGGCTGGGCCTCAAGTAAGTGGGGCAAGCTGAGGACGACAGTCTCCATTAATGCCCTTCCCAACTCAGCGCTATGTAAAATCTTCCGTGGGGTGCGGAAGTGGGCCCGAAAGACGAGATTTCACACACACACACACCGTCTGGGCTGACCCCATCTCCAGAAACCTGTTTTGGCTTTGGCTTTCTCGTTGTTGTTTGTGCTTTCCCCCCTTTTGAGTCACTGCGAGGCTCGCGTTTGAGGGAGACCCAGCTCTTGGGGTGGGGTCGGGGGTATTGCTCTTGTAAAATACCTTTTTATTTTTTATTTCCATCCAAATCTTTGAGAGGGGGGAGGAGGATACAAAATTGATGAGGGTTTGTGCTGATGAGAATAATAGCCATGGCCGACTTGTTTATTTTAGGGCACATTATATGCCCAAGGGAGAGAATCCAACACTTTTGTGTGGCTGCCTTGGCCCATATTTATCCCAAGGAGGGGCACTTTTTGTCACAGATTATTCTGTCGCAGTTTAATATCAAAGAGAGAGGTGGGGGGAGAGGAGATAAATCCAGGGAATGAAGGGATGAAGGCAGTGAAACTCTGGGGCCTATTTTTTCAGGCCTAGTCCTGTGTGGACTTCCTACTCGGAGAACAGGTAGATTCTTCTGTCAACTATGACAGTACGAAGGCCCAAGAACATAGTAATAAAGGTGAATTGATGCAAAGATGGTACAGATAAAATAGCATTTTCAACACAATAGTGTACGGAAATCTCTTTGTCTATAGTCTTAAAACAAGTATATTGAGTTTAAAAAGCAAACCAGTATATCAAAATACTTATGTTTGTACAGTCTCTGTCGTTGGCTAGGTGTTAAAATGAACAGTATGTTTAAAATGTAATTTGGATATAACTATGTCTAATGTAGTCTTTGAATATACTCTGTGTATAAGTACTTCAGAAAATTAATGTCAAATGTGTTGACTCTTCTGTTGCTTGCAGCACTGCAGTACTTTGAGCTGAGTAATAGGCATGCAGCTGGGGTGGGGGAGGGTGAAAAGCAAATAAATGCAGGACATCAGCAGTTGGATTAACAAAACAAACCCAACAATAGTACAATATAATAGCAGCTAGAGAATATTGAGATGTGGATGTGTAGGAATATGTACTATAGGAAAATTATGGCCCCTTGTATGCCAAGAGCTTGTGTTATTGTGGGAATGGATTGGTTTTAATTAACTCGGTGCTCGAAACAAGCACACCACTGAAATAGGGCAAGTTTACAGCAGCAGGTGACAACTCGTGACTGTTCATAGACTACACCATAGTAAATGCGCTATTTTTAGTTTAAAATGTGAAGGGGAGGGTTGTAGGTTATAGAATAGTCTATTTTATTAAGATCCCAGCCTAATGGACAACTGACTTGAAGGCAGATGATATATTGGTAGGGAATTAACACTGTGCTCGCTGCATCAACAAAATTCCAGTTGCTATAGGTAGTTCTAATCACGTTATAATCTAATGTTAATGTTTGTGTTTTCATATGAATAATATAATTAAAACTGTGTTTTTATGGAGCCATGTTTTTCTTGATCATCAAAGTAGTTGAGGAAAAATAACTTTGTATTTGTGAAGTTTATACTCCATATGTAACTTGTGGATCTGAGGGCACAAGTTTGTTTGCTGGAATTCATTAGAACACATTCCAGCATCTTATTTTTCTTAAGGTGGAACATATTTTTTAAAACAATATTTTGGATTTATGGCTACATGGATGGCTTCACTGTAAGAATAAGACTGGTCAGCTTTTTTTAAAATACTGTACCTCTCTCCTGCAGCCAGACTGTTGATCTTCTAATGCAAGAGTCAGGATGTCGTTTAGAACATCCTTCTGCTACCAAATTCCGCAATCATGTCATGGAAGGAGAATGGGATAAGGTAATGGAAGAGGCATGCAACTGCCTAATTATCACTAGAACTGCAATCCTATACACAGTTACTTGAGAGTAAATCCATTGAACTTAGTGAGATTTAACTTTGAATAAGCTTCCATAGGTCTGAGTTGCAGATTTGTTGGTTGGTGCTGTTCATAATCCTTGGTTTATCTCTTTTTTCTCTCCCTTTCTATTTTAAAAACTGCTACTTGTAGGCTGAGAACGACCTGAATGAACTCAAGCCTTTAGTGCACTCTCCTCATGCAATTGTGGTAAGAGAGATTCTTGAATTGTTTGATATAGTTTAGTTTATTTGTAGTAATACTATGCCTCCCCCTCCCCCCAGATTTGTGTTGGGTACACATGTGTCTTAATAAAATAAGTATATACACCAGCCTACCTGATATTTGTAATGAAAAGCCTAAAAAATTTAAAGTGTCATGTCTCTCTCATGTCATGAGTGTATTTGAACATCCTGCAGCAGTGTGGGCATAGATATATAAGTATCTCTTGTAAGTCACTGATGAGAAATGTGTACATTTTTGTGTTCAACTCTTTAATCTGTTCTTGAGTGAAATTGTTCTGGGTATGGCTTTCAGGGGTTGATATATGGTCTCTGTGAAGTGGCATATTTGAATAAACATTAGTGAAATGCAATGACTGACAGCAAACAGTACTCTTTTCAGTTGACTTTTGCATTTATGTAGCTGTCTAGAACTTGGGTCATTCTCTGTAGTTTTCTGTTTAATTAAAACAAGGCAGTCTTCTGATCATTTCATTGAGATGATATAGCTCAAATTTATACACTGGAACTAAAACAATTATGTGCGTACACACACAAAATAAGGGAGACAATGTATTGTGTTTACGGGAAGCATGAAATACTCTCTTGACCACTCCTATCACCCAAACTCTTCTGTACTGAGGGTTGCATGCATCTAAGTCATACTCTGAGTAGACCCATTCAAATAAATTGAAATTACTAATGTAAGTATTTTGATTTCAGGGGCTTTCCTCAGAGTATGGTTCAGTTGGATACAACCCTGATTTTTTTTTTCATACATTCAGCTGCCCTGTCATTATAGTGGTGTATTTTTCCTCTTATTCAAGTGGAAAATACAACGTTACTACAAAAGTGACTATGAAAACAGTGAGGAATTGGTTGATGTTGGTTTAGCTTTCTTCTGGTTGATTTATTTATTGTCAAAAGGATATTTTCCTGTTCTCTCTTCCCTCCCCCCATCAGACAGGAAATGAAGTATGGAAAAACAGATGTTTTGTTAAACTTCAGTTGCTGCCTGAAAGTATTTGTATCTTGTTCTTTTTAATCAAATCAAAGTCTAATCATGCATAAACTTTTCCTCTCAGACAAGTAGAACTGTGTTACTTTAAGAATGGACAGCTGATAATATGATAGTCAGCACTTAGATAATATAACCAAACAGAACAAACAAATGCTTTAAAGTGCAAGAGTTGTGTAGGAATAAATAATGTAACTGAGGTGAATATAAATTGAGGTAAAATCTTGTGCTTTTATTGAGCACATTGCATAGAAGTGGACTGGCATTCTTTTGAGTATTACATTTACTGGAGCAAGGAGTGTTTTCACCATTCATAAGTCAAAAAAGGAATTTTGGGAAAGTGTATTGAAATATTTGGGAGAGACTGGTATTTCCATTTATGTACAAATGTAGATAAGATGAATAAGAAATACATTAATACATTTTTATTTTTTTAATTAAAAGACCTGTACTGTCCCCTTCAGATTTCTGAGAATAAAATTTATCCTTAAATCTTATTCAGAACATTTCACAATAAACTTCTGAGAATGAAAACCAGAGTATTTTTCCTAGAAAACAGGTGTTTGCCTTTATTTTTTGAACAACTGATTTCTCCTTAGAACACACAACAGAAAGACATTTAATTTATTGGGATTTCAACTGATGCCTCTGGTGATATTTTATGGGTCATTTTAGGGGGGGAAATCCATAGGTGTTAAGACGAGAGAGAGAGAGAAGTTAAGGGGTGAAATACTTCTCACCTTAGGTGTTTATGCTTGTAATAGAAGACCCAAAAGTTATACATGACTAAGTCTTTATATTTGGATTATATTTTGGTCAATCCAATTTAAAACTATGTATCTGCTAGATGCAGGCAACAGGGGTGAAACTGCTAAAGTAGCTGTTTTAGCAAATGCTGCAGTTGGACAACGTTATGGTTTGTTTTTTTGATAATATCTAATATATTGCTTTCATGATGGCACATTTTGATTTTACATTGTGCCATCACTTTTCCTTTTGTATACAACTTCTGTGTTGCTTATTTGTTCTGACAGCTAAGCCTTCACAATAAATTGAAATATGAAATAACTATGAGAAGCATATAACTTACAAATGGGAGAGATGCTCCAGGTACCTCCAAACATTGATAAAAGAATCTATGAATTTGGAATGTGTTATCAAGCTGGACCTTTCTTTCAACACTCCTGCTATATAATTGCTGGTGAATCAAAATAAGAATTAATATGGGAAGATGTATAGTAAACTTTATTTTATTTTAAAAGTAGTATTTAGGAGCTGTATTTTTTCCTCTCCTATATTAAATTTGTACACACCTCATCTAGAAGACTATAGATTATATATTTGCACAATATAAAAGAAAAATGAATGATTAAGTACTAACTCCTCCTGCAAGCAAAGTTAGCATAAGAGCCTGTGTGTGTGTGTGTGTGTGTGTGTACACACCACACACACACACACACACACATGCATATGTGCTACATGTATACACTCACAATACTTTCTGTTTAGGGCTGGGCGATAGTAGATCTTCAGGAAAGGAATCCTAAATTAGAGCAATTACAGAGCCTAAATTACCTAAATTAGAGCAATCCCTTGTATATACGAACAAATCTGATAATAAACAAAACGGTATCATTATGATTAATAGCTTGTGTTGCTGTTGACCTTTCAAGCTAACAATCTCACGTGAGATTGGGAAAAATTTATATTGCAGTTATTTTGGGTCAAGCTGCTTAGGGCTCTGCAGCCTGATTCTGTGGGTGGTTCCTTAGAAATAAGTCCTGTTGAGTTCAATAAAACTTTCTCAAAGTAAGTACATGTAGGACAGCAGCCTTAAATGTTTAGTAAATTCTGCCAGAAGTTACTAGGATTTACTTCATATGTTCCACTTTTTAGGTTGATGCCAAAAATGTGTGAATGTATTATACAATGGAGTTCAAACATACAGGTACATTTGTTGGGGCTCTAAAGGCCAACATAGATATTATTATTAATAATATTTATTACCCTCCCTTCACTAGTAGGCCCCTAGGCAGGTTACAGTTTAAAATTCTAAAAGCTATCCAGGCTGTAGACTTAAGTGACCAAGGGAGACTGAATTGTTGTCAGTGAAGTGTGTCTCTCCTTCTTCTCCACACTGCCTCTTTTGTACTATCTGCCAACGGTGGTCATTATAGCTTTGTGTAGATTATTTTTCATTTGGCTTGCTAACATCCAGTATCATGAAGAGAGCCATCCCAGAGCAGCTAATCAGGCCAACATCCTATTTCTAACAGTTGCCAGCCAGAATTCCCTGGACAGTCTAATAGTGAGACATGAATACAGTGGTACCTCGGGTTAAAAACTTAATTTGTTCCGGAGGTCCGTTCTTAACCTGAAACTGTTCTTAACCTGAAGCAACACTTTAGCTAATGGGGCCTCCTGCTGCCACTGTGTGATTTCTGTTCTCATCCTGAAGCAAAGTTCTTAACCCGAGGTACTATTTCTGGATTAGCGGAGTCTGTAACATGAAGCGTATGTAACCTGAAGCGTATGTAACCCGAGGTACCACTATACAACAGTCCTCCTCCTGCTAATCATTCAAAGTATCTGGTATTCAGATATATACTACCTTGTGTGTATATATTTATATGTATATATAAATATATATGTATATATATATTGTTTCAGTCATGGCCAACAGAGCAATAAGATTGCAGGATTTGAGTTGGGTGCCCATGAGTTGGCTCATGTTTATAACCCGTGACATCGTGTATTCAAATCAATTTGCCCAGTTACCTTGCAGGAGGCCACTTGGAAAACTTCTAAGGGGATAGGATAACTTTTCTTTCACCTTCTTACATGTTCTTATAAAAACAAAAAGAAAATGGAACACTTGAGCAGCATCACAGCACTAATCAGACCCCATAGTCATGTCAGCAGTGATCACTTGGTATCAAAGGCTACAGAAAGGACTAACAAGATTGATGGGGTTCCATTTCTCCTCTTGATCTCTAAGCAAAGCAGTGCTTATCATTCACTCTAGTGTTTGTCATACCCAGGCTGAATGGTGGATTGGGAGAGACTCCAGAAAAAAATGATAGCTCTTTCCATTTGTCTTTTTGGATTAGCTGAGTGACCACTTGTTCAACAAATGACTTTGAAAAGCAAGACTGCAGAGAGGGCAATACATGGATCAAGAATCTAGAATTAATCAGCTAGGGTGATCATGGTTCCATACACAGTCACCTATATATATGCCCCAGTACATCTTCTAGTGATAGAAAATATTATCTGAAAGAAGTTTAATAACTTCCTCTGTTTCTCTGAATAGTTATTTCAATATTTTGTTTTAAATCCTATATTGCTGTTGGAAACAGGATTAATCCAATAAGTAGACCATTGAAATTATTGACTCAGACTAACGGGTCTATTTTGAGTATGACTTACTTGGATGCTACTTGATGGATATGGCATGGCAGAAAAGGGCTAACGTAGCCATCTGTGTTCATCATTTTCAATGTTGTATTAAGTATCGTATATTATTTAGCATATATGCCCCTGAGGTTGATCATTGCTATCTGTGGATTTAACATGGATAACTACTACTTGCCCAAAGCCACCTCATGGGTCTATGCCTGATCTGGATATTCAGTTATACTACTTTGATACAAGTCTATTAATTGGATTGCAATAACAAAATAGAAAATGCATCATTCTTATATTAAGATGTTACTGATACAATATTGATAATATCTTAATTCTATTCCAATCCACCATTAATAATCTTTCAGATATAATTTAATAATTATCGTAAATTAAATAATTTCTTCTGAAAGACATTGTGCTTTATTGTGTATAAAACTAATAAACTTGTAATCAATGCTGAACAGTCTCCAAGTGTATTCCGGGGTGTAGTGTGTTTCAGGGATGTAGGAGACTAGTTCCAAGCCAAATTTAGGTGGCGACAAAAGTCCTGTGCTGCTTGCTCA